TATACTTCCTTTCTGGCTACTGGCCAATGAGCATTTTATTTATCAACCAAATCAGAGCAACACTTTCACAGCATATGGAGTGATTGATATCCACAGCACATACTCTCCTACAATCAAAAGCAAGAAGAGATAATAAAAAACTCAGCATTGTGTGTTGTTAGCAGTCAGCTTCTGGCTATATTCCAAGTCTTGGCTGCTTCAATGTTTAACCAAAGCCTGACTGTATATTGGCATAGAGTAGGCTAACAGCTCCTCAAATCTACATGAGACAAGCCCATGGCAATTGGCAAAGTCAGGATTGTCTGATCCTCAGGCTTAAGTTCTGAGTCACATGTTCCTGTCACCTGTGCAGAAAGTAGATCCTTATTTCTGAAGCTACTGCTTCTCTTTGAAGATATGACATCCCTGTGTCTGTCCTGATGTGCTATGTATCTGCAAGTAAGACAAATCATTTCAGACTTTAGAATCTGACCGACACTTGGGGAGTCCTACTCCTTCCTCTGTTGCTTATTTTTTTTTGGCCCTTTTTAACCTTTAAGAGAAACAGGATGCCGGGCGGTGGTGGCGCACGCCTTTAATCCCAGCACTCGGGAGGCAGAGCCAGGCGGATCTCTGTGAGTTCGAGGCCAGCCTGGAATACCAAGTGAGTCCCAGGAAAGGCGCAAAGCTACACAGAGAAACCCTGTCTCGAAAAACCAAAAAAAAAAAAAAAAAAAAAAAGAGAGAAACAGGAGGTTCAACAAAACCCACTATCAGAGTTTATTAAAGAGAGGGAATATGAAAAAAAAAATGTATAAGTGCTGTGGGATGTTCTGTATGGCAAATGTGTTGCTGATTAGTCAGTGAATAGAGCACTGATTGGCCATTGGCTAGGCGGGAAGTGTAGGCGGGACAAGGAGGAGAATAAAGCTGGGAAGTGGAAGGCTGAGTCAGAGAGACACTGCCAGCCGCCATGATAACAAACACCATGTGAAGGTGCCGGTAAGCCACGAGCCATGTGGCAAGGTATAGATTAATGGAAATGGATTAATTTAAGCTGTAAGAACAGTTAACAAGAAGCCTGCCACGGCCATACAGTTTGTAACCAATATAAGTCTCTGTGTTTACTTGGTCAGGTTTAAGTGGCTGTGGGACTGGCAGGTGAGAGAGATTTGTCCTGATTGTGGGCCAGGCAGGAAAACTCTAGCTACAAATGGCGTCCAACGTGGTGGCAAGAGTTTCCACCTAAAACCTGAGAAAAAAGATTCTAAAACGGAGCTAAAAACAGTTCCTAATTGTCTCTCTCAAATGAGCGGCAGCTGCCTGTTTGAGCTACTGGTGGGTTCCTAGAGTGCGTGCTCGACCTGCAGTATGGCGGGAATGAGGCCTCTGCAAGTGGCACATTAAGCTGCACGGTGGATTTAGACTTTGCTAGTACAAAACAAAAAAAAAAGAGGTTTCTGGACTACACGCTGCTTGGCTAAAAGCATAGACCCATGATAGCTCCCAGAGCTGGTGGAAAAGGTAACGCCGCCATGTTGGGAAGCTGAGGTGGGTGGAGCCAGCAGCCACAGCTGCTGCAGTTTAAGGCAATAGATTCACAATAAGACAGATTCAGATGTAATAGTTTACAATGTGTATAAAAGATACGTAGGCTTGAAAGAGACAAAAAAGATGATATATAGAGTTATAGAAACAAATATATAGTTTTAAAAAATAAAGTCTTTAAAGAGACAGTAAAGGTAGTATAAAAAATAAGCCATGTAAAAATGGATATTACACAGAGAATCTGCATTGTGTTGTCTTTGGGACTTTTAACTGCAGAAAAACATTTGATTGTAAAAGCTGTTGAGTTATGCCAAAATGTATATTTTAAAGGTACCTTGACTTCAAAATTTGAATATAAGGATATGTTGCTTTGGAAAGGAGACTCTGCTTTTGTTCCCACAGAAAGCCAGAGGCTATGGATTTGTTCCCGATTAAGATACATCAGGTTTGACCAGCCAAGACCCCCTGAAAGGTCTCCGATGACACCATGGCCCAGATGATCCAACATCCAGAATGTTTTCAAGGCAACTGGCTCAGACGATACAGCCTCATGGACTATTCCATAATCCTAAAATTTTCTTTGTTTCCCCATAAGATACAGCACCACCCTCCAGCAGGAAGTAGTAAGAGAAGCTACGCCCAAATTCCCAAATTATATGTAATTTTACTTTGTTAAGGTTAAAACCTTCCTTTTTGAAAAAAAAAAGGGGGGGGAAGTGCTGTGGGATGTTCTGTATGACAAATGTGTTGCTGATTAGTCAGTGAATAGAGCACTGATTGGCCATTGGCTAGGCAGGAAGTGTAGGCGGGACAAGGAGGAGAATAAAGCTGGGAAGTGGAAGGCTGAGTCAGAGAGACACTGCCAGCCGCCATGATGACAAACAGCATGTGGAGATGCCGGTAAGCCACGAGCCATGTGGCAAGGTATAGATTAATGGAAATGGATTAATTTAAGCTGTAAGAACAGTTAGCAAGAAGCCTGCCACGGCCACACAGTTTGAAACCAATATAAGTCTCTGTGTTTACTTGGTTGGGTCTGAGGGGCTGTGGGACTGGCAGGTGATAGAGATTTGTCCTGATTGTGGGCCAGGCAGGAAAACTCTACCTACATATAAGCCTATGGAAAAAACAGTGTGGATAGGGGGCAGAAGAATGGGTGGAACCTGGTTTTATGGTTCCCACTGAACATGGGCATATGGGCCTATGTAGCTATGCCATGAATGCTCATAGATTACATGGTCAGGCTGCTTGCAAATTACATGGTCACCATGTGCATATATTACTTATGACATAAGGCCCTGTAATGATTAAGCATCTTGCCTGGCTGCTGGACAGTGCATGTGCAATCATATAGCTAGGAGAGTGGCTAGGAATTATAACATTCTAGACTCTTTGTTCTTATACAAAATTAGGGATTAGAAGTTATGTTAGAATGGAAATGGGGGCACAATGTGTCCTGGAACTACTTCTAACTTAGGTGGTAGGTGTCCCTTAACTTTTGCAGGTAAAGAACTGGAGCTTTTAGTTTGTTTCCAGGTTCTACCTATAACAAATAAAGCTGCTATGAATATAGCTGAGCTAGTGTCCTTGTGGTATGATTGAGCATTCTTTGGTATATGCCCAACTGTGGTATCAAAGGGCCTTTTGGTAGATTGATGTCCAATTCTCTGAGAAACTGGTATTTAATCATATATCTATGCATGTTATGCATCTTTAACATAGTTGATAATTTCATATATGTGCACTACATTTATATTATTTAAAACTTCTTTTTGATTATTCCTGCAATACCATGTCTGTTCTACTAGATGTCAAAACAAATACCACTTTTTATTAAAATTATATTGTCATACACTTACAAATGTACACATAACTAACCCACACTGTGTATATAGTTTAGCTATTATGTGTAACTAGTTTTAGCTTTAATCTTTTGGAATTGAAAGATCTATCAATATTAATGTCCAATAGACTTGCATTTTTTCTATCTTAGCATTCATCATTTGTCTGTAGATTTTCTGCTATGTATGGCAAGGTTAGCGAGTTCCACATATGTGTTGGCAAGTCTTTGGGGGAATCTCTCTGCCCTCCATCTACCAAATAAAGTCACAAATACTTCTTATTAATTAGAAACCTTGTCCTTAGCTTACATTTCTTCTCCAATAATAATCAAACCAATTTACATTACTCTACATTCTGCCACAAGGTGCCTTACCTCTCCTTCGTGCTGTACTTCTGACATCTCCCATAACTTACTGACAAATTCCCTGCTTCACAAATTCTTAATCTTAATTTCTGTGTCTGCCAGGATGTAACACCCATCCACTGCTGTCTATGTAGGATTCATTCAGCACTTTTTAACACCAATCAAAAGATGCTTTGGCAAAGAAAAAGCTTCAATGTTTATAAAAGATTATCCAAAAACGTGGGAAGGATTTATGGTGTCATTGTGCTAATGTTGTTTATTGATTTATTTTTGGTATTTAATACTTCAAAATTTTGTGCATTTAAAGTCTTATCCATCTTAAAAGACACTACACCCCTTTAGAGCAGGTGTCCTATTCCTTAGGATTATAAGCTGGGCCTTCCCTTTACATGCTTTAATTTCTGAGATTAGGAATAATGGAATTTTTAGATTCAACATGTAGAATTGGACACAACACTGTAAATTCTTAGCCTTTTTGGAAGTTGTGGATTTACATAATACTGTTATTAAATGGTGCTTTTTTTCTGAGATTTATAGCTAATGTCTGTGGATATCAGGATGAATATACAGAACACACTTAGAAATTATAATGCTTCAGAGAAGTTGCACATAAATGTTCTGTGTTTTTATAGATTTATTATCCAGCCATGTGTAGTAGGCTAGGTTACTGAATTGGGCATAGTTTGTCTTCCTGTCAAGAACATATGTCTGTATCACTGAAAAAAAATTGAAGTAAAAAATTTGACAGATCTTGGGGAGAATAGACACTATTATTTTGTCAAGGTCCCAATTTTGGTGAATTATAACATTTGGAGATGGTTGTATATTCATCCTTTTCACCTTGATATTTTATAGTCTTGTCTGCTGTGGTTTTGACATTAAAAAAACATGAGAATTATGTGTAGCAGTAGCATCTATATTAGTGACTTAGGGGACTGCCTCTAAGACATTGACAGTGTAAGAAGTTGTTAAAAGGATGTAACTTTCAAGTTGTAAAATGATAGAACATAATTTTACAGAATTTAGAAATTTTATATATAGGGAATGCCTCAGTGTTGACCCTGGTCCATACATTTTGGGATTATAAAAGAAAAACTGAGACATTGATTGATCCTAAATTTTTAATCCAGTAGTGAGACAACTGATGTTGAAACTTGGGGGAATGCAAAGGATAGATCAGAGATAGGATAGAAGTAGTACAGTTGATTACATAAACAGAAAATCTGTGTCATCTCTGACATTCCATTATTTTATTTTTTGCTTCTAGGTGTATAAAATGTACAGCCTTGGAGAAGGCTCTGTCAGCAGCCTGGTTGCTTGGAAGTAAGAACAACTATAATCTCTTTCTAGAATACACATGTAAAAAGCATGCATACTAGCAGTAGCATCTGTACCAGGACATTCCACGTAGATAGTAACAGTAACTTCTCTGGATTTTACTGGCCAACTTGCATACCATGTTTGAAATTCTATACCTGTGTGAAACAGTATGTCAATCAGCCATTGCTAATACATCTCTGCATGTAACTAGTATTTGATTGGTATTGAAGCACACTTGTACAATCAAATTCACATTAGCTGAATTTTCATGCATAATTATTTCACTATATAATGCAGCAAACATTCTGCTATATCTTGAGGAAAAATCATGAAGCCAAATATTATCAGAGTAGCTTATATTATTCAATGAGTTGATGAAATATGAAACAGAGTTTTTCAACTGAGAAGATTGTCATGTGGTAGTCAATGGCACCGTACCATACACACACACACACACACACACATATACACATATGCTTTAACTGAATTCAGAATGTCACTAAAATGAGTGTTAGTATATAAAGTAAGTATGGAGGAATGATAATGATGATCAAAGTGGAATTACAGTGAAGGGAATTTACTGACTTGTTTCAAAATTTCAATATTCATTAGTTAATACTGCACAAAATATTCTTTGAGTATGAATAGTAACTGTGAAACCAAAATAAATGCCAAACGCATGCTGGCCTCTGTGGAACCACACATAAAGCCATACAGAAAAATATGCAATTTTTAAGACTTTAATCGATTTTGAATAATCCTTTCCAAAACAAATACCTCAGATTATTAATCATCATGACACTGTGAGATGTGGTATGTCAAATGAGTATATTAAGAACAAGTCTTTAAAGCCAATATAAGCATCTTCCTTCAGGAACTCATTCATATGTATATTATATATATGTATGTATCTATATATGTATATATATATATATATATATATATATATATATATATATCTGATAAATCAAGTATTTAATTGTCCTTGGGGAAACTTAGTAGGCAAATCTGAAAAAAAAATCTACATTCAGCTTTAGTTGGCTGCCCAGAATCAATTTATTCAACTTAAGGCTGATAGGGAGGCTTTGGTATAGACAGTCAGGATGTATGGACAACGAGCTAGATATATGATCAACCCCCAGTTATTACAGGCTGGTTTTGTCTTTTGATAATTCCAACCAGATCTCTGGTTAAATTATGTATTTCTCTTAGTCCACTTTCAAATTTGCTGCTTCTACTCTATCTCAATTTGGGTGGGAGTGAGAAATAAATCAGCAGTTCTCATGGAGATCTACAAGATTACCACCGTATTTGCTTTCCATTGCTGGAACTGAGATCAATCCTCTTATAGGTTCATATTCCAATCTCAATATGAATGCAAACACTTCTTCAATCAGAAGCAAAGGGAGCAAATAAAGTTGTCAGCAGTGCAGCTTCTCAGTTGTCAGGTTCTGGTTGTACTCCAGGTCTCAGATGGTCCTGGGTATAAAGTCCAACTCTGCATGGGCAAAGACAAGGCAAAATGCTCCTGACAACTACAGGAGACAGAGGCCTTGGAATTTAGAAACACTAGGGAGTGTTTGAGTCCTGAGATTATAGGTCTTAGACCACTGCTCCTGTCACCTGTGCAGGAAGTACGATCCTGTTTCTGAAGCTTCTGCTTCCCTTAAGGATGTGACATCCCCATCTCAGTTTTGAAATAATGTAATCATCAGCAAGAAAGATAATTAACTTTAGTCTTCAGTATCTGATGGAGACTAAGGTATTCCTGTGCTTTCCCCTTCCCTGTGAGATCCAGAATGAGAATTATCAAGGTGTTGTCCATTTTAGTCATGCTTGTAGGTGGACAAAAATAAGAGAGGACCCATACTAGAAAATATTAAATAGGACATCTTAATACCCCAGACCTGAAATGCATGAAAGAAATTATGTAGCATTTAGAAAGTGAGCAACCTCAAAACCAAAACCAAGGAAAATCATTATTTCCCATACACATATGTAGAAAGGGAAAATCATTGAGTAACATTGTAGATATTGGTTTTATTTATTTATATATGGTTGGGACTGAGAGAATATTATGATAAAAGATTTTCAAAAATGAAAATTGCTAAAAATACAGAAAAGGTTCAATCAACATAAAGGGTTAAAGAAAGAAAAATTTTTCACACTATGGCTTGTTTAACTGCTGGACAGGAAAGCCAGCCTTTAAGCTGTTGATACCAACAAACTTAGCACTGTGTCCAAACTAATCACCTTTAACAAATATTAAAAACCTTCATGTAATGAAAAATAAATTCGTCCATCCATGATGAGCAGGTCACATCAGCCATTGGACATATGTGGGCATCACCAGATAAGGTTCCCTTGGACGTAACAGATACAGGATAGGGAGGTCTGAGAGGACCAGGAATGAGGAAGCAATATGTGCTTCCTGTGTCACTGACATTGATAATATACATTGAGGAGACATAAAAGAAAGACCTAGATATAGCCTGGATCTCTATACTGGCCCGGAATTTAATCACTTCATTGACTCGATTGGTGCTTTTTATCTATAATGTTTGAAATATTTTGGAAAATCTATCTGACTAACTGTAATGTATGGTGTGTCTCTAGAGTGCAAATGAAATGTTGAGGGGATGAGAGAAAGGACAAAATGACAAGAAAAGGAAGCCATGAAACTGACTAGAAATCAAAGGTAGCAAGATTCAAGGTAAGACTAAGTTCCTAACTGAAAAGATACTGAAAACCAAACTTTGTGCTAATGATTTTGTGTCAGGATTTAAAGACGCTCACAAAGTTCATCCATAATAAAGCACTATAGGTGAGGAAAAGTTTACACCTGGTTTGGGCAAATATCCACTACTATTTCTTCATTATGCTGTCTGTTCTTCAACATGAACTGCCAATTATTAACCACAGCCCCCATTTCATTTTTTGAAATAACCAAGAGACCAAGAGTTTTTATACCTGTTCAGGAAAGAGTTAGACCTTCCACAAGAAGAGGCCTAAAGTTATTCCTACTGTGGGATGTGTATATTAAAGGTAGAAAAGTAAACAGTACTTCCTTAGTTATTCCAGATAGACAGACTCATGTCTTGGGTATTGGCATCCTCAACATCACTCTCTGAAGTAAGGTAACAGTTGTTTCTCAGATTTCGAAAAACCAAACAATACAAAATAGGCTAAAAGTGGGCTGAAAGATATAAGCTTAATGTGCAAAAGTATTTAAAGGAACAGGAGAGCAGAAGGATCCAGATCTCTCAACTCAGTAATAAGTGGGGAATTAAGAAAGATTTCCATAGAAGAGATCTTGAAGATGGACATGGTCTGACTCTAGGAAACTGAACATGGATATTGAACATCCACTCAATTCAATGCCTCATATTTTTTATTTGTATATAACATGTATAAGTGGAATAAAGAAATGATGCTAATACACCAGAACTAGCTATATTGTAGAAAACTTGACCTATATTTGTTTAATTTCTCATTAGTTGTGAAAGGTATGATCCTTTCTCAGAACAGGTGACAATGGACTCCTGCACTGATTCAAAAAGATTTGCAGCCCCACACTCTAATGCTAGCTATAATTTTGGCTCAGGAATTTGCCTCAGTGTTCTACCTATTCTCTATACAATGCTTTTTTGTGTGTAGATAGATAGCATAATACTAATTGTTGACTGTATTCCGATTGGGATACTCAATTAAGAGTCCTATATATGTGATTGAAGAATTAGGCATGCAAAATTAGTTTAAAAATGATATAAAGGACATATGATGTTCTCAAATAATTGGAGGCTCTGGTGTAGAGTAAGAAACAAGTGATACCAACCAACGTAATTAGAATTGCTTACTTTAGCCTGTAAATGTTAAAAAGTACAAAAATATAAAACTCAGTATGTTCCTAATCTCCAACATTTTAAATCGCAATGGACATTTTGAAGAGTAGGCTATGTTCCAAGTGGTTGCTATTCCCATATGCCAGGAAACTTCTAAATCTGTAAACAGTATTGTAATATTTGTAGGTTGTATTCTAGGATGGAATAAAATTTGTTATTGATGGGAAGTTGATTGATCTTCATGTGACAGTAGGATAATTGAATAAATAAATCTAGAAGTTTTCTGAAACATCTCCTCTTGAGCTAGAATCTATATTCCCAGAAGGTACTGCTTAGGAATGTGTGAACTATTAAGTATCAAAGCCATAATCATCACTTGTGGATCTTCTGTGTTTTAAAATATAGTTTCCACTCAATATGTGTCACATGGTACAATAATGGTTTTAAAAGGAATCAAAGTACTTGTTGTTTTTGTTTTGTTTTTTAATTTTACTTTATTTTATTTTACAATACAATTCAGTTCTATATATCAGCCACGGATTCCTTTGTTCTCCCCCTTCCCGCCCCCTCCCCTTCCCCCCAGCCTACCCCCCATTCCCACCTGCTCCAGGGCAAAACCTCCCCCAAGGCCTGAGATCAACCTGTTAGACTCAATCAAGGCAGGTCCAGTCCCCTCCTCCCAGGCCCAGCCAAGCGACCCTGTATAAGCCCCAGGTTTCAAACAGCCAACTCATGCAATGAGCACAGGACCAGGTCCCACTGCCTGAATGCCTCCCAAACAGATCAAGCCAATTGACTATCTCAGGCATTCAGAGGCCCTGATCCAGTTGGGGGCCCCTCAGCCATTGGTTCACAGTTCATGTGTTTCCATTCCTTTGGCTATTTGTCCCTGTGCTTTATCCAACCTTGGTCTCAACAATTCTCGCTCATATAAACCCTCCTCTTTCTCGCTAATTGGACTCCTGGAGCTCCACCCAGGGCCTAGCCATGGATCTCTGCATCCAGTTCCCTCAGTCATTGGATGGGGTTTCTAGCATGACAATTAGGGTGTTTGGCCTTCCCATCACCAGAGAAGGTCAGTTCGGGCTGTCTCTCACCATTGCCAGCAGTCTATTGTGGGGGTATCTTTGTGGATTTCTGTGGGCCTCTCTAGCACTTTGCTTCTTCCTATTCTCATGTGGTCTTCATTTACCATGGTCTCCTATTCCTTGTTCTCCCTCTCTGTTGTTGATCCAGCTGGGACCTCCTGCTCCCCTAAGCTCTCTTTCCCTCGACCCTCGCCCTTCATTACCCCCACTCATGTCCAGATTTATCATGTAGATCTCATCCATTTCTCCATCATTGGGTGATCCTCGTGTCTTTCTTGGGGTCCTGTTTTCCAGATAGCCTCCCTGGTGATGTGAGTAGCAGTCCAGTCAACCTTGTTCCACATCTAGTATCCTCCTATGAGTGAGTACATACCATGTTTGTCTTTCTGAGTCTGGGTTACCTCACTCAGGATGATTTTTTCTAGATCCATCCATTTGCCTGCAAACCTCATGATGTCATCGTTTTTCTCTGCTGAGTAGTATTCCACTGTGTATATGTACCACATTTTATTTATCCATTCTTCAGTTGAAGGGCATCTAGGTTGTTTCCAGGTTCTGGCTATTACAAACAATACTGATATGAACATAGCTGAGCAAGTGCCCTTGTGGTATGATTGAGATTTCCTTGGGTATATGCCCAAGAGTGGTATATAGCTGGATCTTGGGGGAGATTGATTCCCAATTTTCTAAAAAAGTGCCATATTGATTTCCAAAGTGGTTATACAAGCTTGCATTCCCACCAGCAGTGGAGGAGAGTTCCCCTAGCTCTACATCCTCTCCAGCATAAGGTGTCTTCAGTGTTTTTGATCTTAGCCATTCTGACAGGTGTAAGGTGGTATCTCATACCACAAGAGCGCTTGCTCAGCTATGTTCATATCAGCATTGTTTGTAATAGCCAGAACCTGAAAATAACCTATATGTCCTTTAAAGTACTTATTGTATTAAATGTGTATTCCAGTAGAGCCTCCTCTATTTCCTTGAGGTATTTTATTAGTTTCGGTTCTCTCACTTCAGATAATTTGAGCTTGTGCCAAGTTGACACCAAGTTATTTTCCTCCATGGACTTCAGCACACTATCATGGTCTATTCCTATATTTCAAGTCTAGTATTAACAATTACCCTTGCTTTATTTTCATTATTTATCCCATTTGTGCTTCTTAGTAAGAAAAATCCTCAAAGTATTTTTGATAATCCTGCTCTAGAAACAGATTGCTATTAAAAATTACCTCGGGTTAAGTAACATGCTGTAGCTGGAAAAGTTTCAGATATTAATGTAAGTTCTAGCAAAACAAAAGAATTCATGAGAAATAAGGTACTGGAATGAATTGAAGAGCTTAAGGAACTCATGAAGGTGTTGTATAGTTCTATCATGAAAGCACATCAGCTGCCATCTTGGGTCAATCACCTGCAACACAGGGAAAATAAATAACATAGCTTGGAATTTGAATGGTTTGCATCCCCTCATTAAATAACAGGGAGCATCAGGAGTCCCTTACTTGATAATCCATATGTTTCTACAAACTGATGTGTACAACTCTCCCCTAAGTAAATGTTGCCTTATGATAGGAATGAGTATGTATATAGTCCCAGGGAGTCCTGGGGTGGAGGGTTTGATCTGTGTTGCCAAGAGAAAGCCATTGTCCTTGTGGGGTAAGTCTTTCTGTTCCATTCTTTGTGCCAGAGACCATACAAAATAGTATGAGCCAATCAATAACCATTTGTAAATAAGTCAATTGAACTCATCTGTTTTCTATATAGATCCTTGGTAGAATTCTACATATTTCTATATTCTATATAAATGTAGGTTATAGGAAATTATATAAATAATTTTATACTTATAATGTTACATATTAATTATATATATATGTGTGTGTGTGTGTGTGTGTATGTGTGTGTGTGTGTGTGTGTGTGTATGTGTGTGTATGTGTATGTAGCAAGTCTAGAGTTGAGAAGAATATATCACCTAGAATGAACTAAGATTTTCTGTGAATAGGTTTTGATGCTGAGATCAAGTAGTGTTCTGGGAAATGTGTATGTATAGAATTCACATATCCTCTTTTGACCACTACACATGCAGAGAATACAATATGATGGTTACAGCTGTTGACAGGTTGATTATGATAATTCAGGTCTAATAGGAAATGTGGTAAGGGAATTGTAAACTATAACCCTAGATTTCTCTGCTTTTCTTTCTCCATGTCTTTTTAGAAAGAAAAGTTATTTTCCTCCATGGATTGATGTAGATTGTATAAAATTATCTCAAAGAATGGGCAAAATGGAACCTCTGATACAAAAATAAGAAAATTTTCTGCAGAAATGACCCAATATTCTTGAAGCTGTTTCCCTTATTGAGAATCATCAAAGAATACAGATTCACATATAGGCCCAGGAAACTTCCTCATAATCACAGACTAGAGTAAACAAGATTGTCCATATCACCTTTTATTTTCTGGAACACAGAAACTAAATTTTATTGTGTTTTATGTGATGTGTGATCCCAAATAAATCTGCAATGGTTTTCAGTTTAGCCATTGGAGAATTTTGCTATTTCTGTCATCATCATCTCCTTGATGTTGTATGTTGACTGCCACTCACTTGATCTTCTGAATTGTATAGTATCACAAAGGAAAAAATAATTTCTGTTTCATCATATCCTATTCCTAAGTCAATGTCCAATAAACAAGTTTTATCTTGTAATATCTGTAGTGAATATAAGGAGGGCAGGTGGTTGTGACCTAGAATTTTCACTGAATTCACTGTAAACTTTCACTGAAAATTAAGATGCTGTGATCAGTTTTATTGAGGAACCAATACCTTTAATATATGCATCAAACTGGCATGTGCTGTTTCAACTCCAATATAAGCTACATCTAAATTTTGTTTTTATATCCTCCCACTTTATATCAAACACATTTATCTTAAAATTTCTTTTGATGTCTCCTTTTCTAGTTTATGATGCCCAGCCTACTTTCCTGTGACATGAAATGGACAAAGCAACGCAATTTCTAAGAGTAAAAGCTCTGTGACCGTAATTATTTCCATGAGATAAAGAAAACCTGGTAAAGAGAAACATTCTCACACTGTTTCTCTGTCCACCACTTACAATTACTCAGAAGCAAACTCACAGTTAAATACACCAAGTTATATGCAAAGAGTGTCTTCTGTTTTGTGCATGTTTTACCTAAAAGCTAATGAAGACACATAGATTAACACAGGTAATTTCATTATATTTTATTTCATTTCATATGTTTGAACTATATATCCATTATTTTGAAACCAATTTATTTCTGAGTCTGAGATGGAATATACAGGAGTTTCCTCAATGCTGATCTTATTTCATTTTGTGTAGGGGGATGATAGAGGAACAGCCCAGATACTTGTTCATTTACTAATATTTACATCCAGCGTTCAAAAGGTTAAAACTGGAGGAACACAGAGTACTTCCTTATGGAGAAGGAAGTACACATTGATCTTTAGAGTGGGAAGCAGAGTAGTCTTTGAGTTGCATTCATTACGTTATTTTTAGCTTTTATGGTTAAAATGTGAACAGCCTGGTAGAAGTGTCGGTAAGCAACATGGTCTTTGAAAATTTGTAAATCTGGGAATTATTTTTAGAATACATATAATCAAATCCAGACATTCTGGTATATACAGTCTCAATTTTATGTGAGACTTGTGCTAATAGAATGTTATCTGACTTTTCTTGGCCAGTTAGGCTAGACTGGTAAATTTCCACTCCAAGGAGAAAAACTATCTGAAATCAGAGAGTTGTCATATTATTCTGCATCAAACCAGTATTTGATGGATGCTTAAGCAAAGTTGCACTCATATATTTCCAACAACTGCAATTAAATGCATAATTATTGTCCTTTATCCAGCCCTCAAAAATCCCAGTATCCTGAGTGGCAGGACTCTGGAAGTCCAACTTTTTTAGAGTGGCTATTAGTATTTAATGAGCTTACAGAGAAGGATAGTTAGGTTTTATTTCAGGGAAACTTGGCATGTTAGGTTACTCATGTTCCAGTAGATGGCTCCATATTGATACACACCTGGCTGCCATAAATAAACTCAGTTGTTATTAAAGATAGAAAAAGAATGAATGCTTCAGATGGAATAGTGATATTTGCGAAAAAGTGAAATTCTAATACAGGGAATATGCTGGGTTTTTCAAAAGAAAATATTTATATGTTAATTTTAACAAAATAATGAATATGATTTGAAGCTGTGAAAAAATGAACATTTGCATACAGATAAATGATCAATCACATATAAAGACTTACCTAACAACACACTGAATTGTTGAGGATATAAATATATTTTAAGCTTTTCTTTTCTTAGTTATCCAGTCATTTTACATACCACTTTTAGCCTCCCAATGAATCCTACCCTCCCCGACACTCTTCCCCATTTCTGATCTCTACCTCCAAATTCCCTCCTTTTCTGTCTCCTTCCAGGAAAGGTCAGGTCTCCTATATGTATCAATAAAACAAAGTATAACAGGTAACAATAAGCCTAAGCAACTCCCAATAAATTAAGGGTGGGCAAGGCAACCAAGTATGAGATGTAGGGTCCCAAAAAGCAGCAAAAGAGTCAAAGAAAATCCCTGTTCCTCCTGTTAGGGGCCTTAAAGGGGACCAAGATACACAACTCTAACATATATGCAGGTTCCCTAGTTGTCCCTAGGGAATCATAGAGCCCCTATGATTTTGTAAGCCTTTCAGTGGTTTTCCTGACCCCTCTGGTTTCTATGGTTCTTTCTTCTCCTCCTTTGCACTGTTCCCTCACTTAGCCTAATGTTTGACTGTGGGATTGCTTCTGCCTCCATCAGTTGCTGGATAAAGCCTCTCTGATGACAATTTGGACAGGGAACAATCAGGTCACGGGAGATGGTCAATTCAGGCAACTTATCCACTATTGCTAGGAGCCTACGCTGCAGTCCCCTGTGAAAGTACTGCTCCTGACACTGATATGCTCAATTAAGCACCCTCCCCCAGCACTCTCACACTCTGTGCCCCACCTAACCTGATTGCTCTTGTTCCCATTTCTAACTGTCCTCAGTTTTTTCATGAAATCCCTTCTATTTTCCCTTTGCAGTAAGATCTGGGTGTCCACCCAAGAAATCTCCTTGTACCTAGTCTCTCTGGGTTTGTGGTTGTAGCATAGTCACCCTTTATTTTACAGATACTATCCACTTATGAGTGAGTACATACCATGTTTGTCTTTATTGGTCTAGATGACCTCACTCAGGATGATTTTTTTTCTAGTTCTATGCATATTCCTTTAAATTTCATGTCCTTGTTTTTAACAGCTGAGTAAAACTCTATTGACTAAATTTACAATATTTTCATTATCCATTCTTCAGTAAAGGTGCATCTAAGTTGTTTCCAGATTCTAGCTATTGTAAATAAAGCTGCTATGAACATAAATGAGCAAATATCCTTGTAGTATCAGATTCCACAAGTAAGGGCATTTGGGGAATCTAAAATGGCATATTGGAAACTGTTATGTGAAAGGTACTTTTGGCAGCCCACAATCACAATCAGCCATCAGCAGGGGGAAAGTGAGGCTTTCAGGTAGATAGCCAGAATTCAGGGACAGGTACCTAGGTATATGATCACACTCTAGTTACCAAGAGATGCTTTCTCTTTTGAGAATTGTATTCTAGGCCTAGGATACATTACAATATTTCCTGTCATCCACTTTCAGTTTCGTTGTTTCAGCTGCAGCACACATTTAGTTGGGAGGGTAAAATGAATCAGCAGCTCTGAAAGAGATCTCAAAGACTAACACAGGATTTGCTCTCCTTTGATGAAATTTGAGGTCACTCTCCATATTCATTCCTGTAGGGTGGCCCTGCACCACACCCCAATTTTCCCAGAGAGTTCTCGAGTAGAAACAGCAGGAAATATTATTTAGAAGGATTTAGGTGAGAGAAACACATAGAAAATACAGGGTAGCTTTGAGAGTGCTTGTATCTTAATCCATCCACCATCTTCAGTCTCTGCTTTAGGGTATTTCAAGGAATGCAAAGGGTCAAGTAAAGACCTCACCCCAGCACAACCCACTGCTGACTATCTCAGACACCAGCACTGAGGCCCATGGTCCAATCATTCTCTCTAAGCAGACCTGCTGGGTAAAGCTTAAATGGGCTCCAGCAGGTTCCTATTCCAAAACCAATTTGAAAGCACATACTCCTCCATCAGAGACAAGGACAGCTAATAAAATTATCAGCTGAGCAGGTGTTCACCAGTCAGCCTGTGGCTGTATTCTGGGTCTCAGTTGCTCATGTGCATAACCAAAACTCTATTGTGCATTGGCCCAGACAAGAAGATTGGTCCTGACATACATGGGGAGACAGAGCCCATGGAAATTAGCAAAGTCGGAGATTGTTTCATTCCCAGCAGTACAGCTCTAAGCCACCTGATCCTGTCAAATGGGCAGCAAGCAGATTCCTGCTTCTATAACTGCTGTTTCTCATTAAAGATGTGGCCTCCCAGTCTCAGTTTGAATTCACTTCAGGCTTTAGGATCTGGCTAGACTAGGTGAGTCATACTCTTTCCTTTTTCTGAACCTACTACTCCCCTTAAGGATATGGCATCTGTATGTCAGTCTTCAAGTGCTGCTGTATGTGAAAGGAACATCATTCTCTTGAGGCTTTAGTATCTGGCAAAGACTAGCAGAATCCTGCTCTTTCCTCTGCCCTGGAAGATTTATTGTGGAAATGACTTCAGTATTGTAGTTTTATTCAGAAACCTTAGAGTCACTGAAAATATGGAGGAGTAACATCTGCAGACACTACTCTGTCTGTCACAAAAAGCAAGTATAGCATGGGAAAACTACTTGTTATCATCCTGTTGCCACTTAGGTTCCCACAGGCTCAACTTTGCATTCTTGGTTTGCATTATCACTGAGTTCTGGCATACAGATTCTCTTGTATGTGATTTGTTTCCTACTTCTCAGCCCAATGCTATATATGACATCAACAGGGCATAAGCTTTGTTAGGAATCAATTATTTATTGATTATGGTAGGAATATATTCAATACTTCCCTTGAAAATAATAACCACACCAGATTCCCTTTTTCTTGGGTATTTTTTTATGCTTTGAACCAGTGCAGATCTTGTGTCTCTACAAGATAAGTCTACTCAGACTCAGAATTCGTAGAACTGATAGTGACGTTAATACTTGAAAGTGTTGATACATTGGAATCATCAACCACCTCTGAATCTATTGGAATCTTTCTGCCATCTTTTCAACACAAATGTATGGGATTCTCAGGTAGAAATAAAGACATAAAACATCAGAACATGGTACCTTAATTTCTCTCAGGCTCTTTAGAAAACCCTTCCCTGCACATCATTTTGTTGTTTTCAAATTGTTGCCTGAAGTAACATCTCTGATGAGGGCCAAGTGATGCACAGATATATGATTATATCCCTGTCATTAGGACTCAAGTTTATTTCTATATGACTCTAGCCAAAGGAAAGAAACTGTTTTTGTGTAAGTCTGTCACCATTTGGTTTCAGGATCCTGGCCATTAAATGCAGTGTGGGGTGTGGGGTGTTCTTTCAAGTTCATGGTCTTAATCATTTCCCTCATAATATCTTGATTCCTCCCGTGATTACTTGGCCACTATGACAAAATTATATTTGTGAGTTGCTCACTATTTTCTCTTTTAGGATATGTAGCTCATGAGAGTGGGATGTTCCTTCTCATTTTAATCCACTAACATACAGATTAACCTTCAGTCCTATCACATGTAGTCAATCCCAGTTAAGCTTCTAAATAGCAGCAGATTATGTTCTATTCTAGGATAACATAAGATTGTAGGAGCTTTAAAAATAGGGCATTTTTTTCTATCATACAGAGAAGTGTAAGTATGTTTTAAATGGTCTTGTAAGAACCATTTTGGCACTAAAGGCATAGCTTTGGCCATGAAGTAAGACATGTAACACATTACTGACACATTAGTAAGAAAAAAACTGGTGCTCTTCATAGTATAAGGGATTCAATTTTCCAAATATATCTCTCCATATTCTACGATCCATTTCAATTACTTTATAATATTTATATAAGTTTATGTATGTGTATATTTATGAGTTTAACTCTTACTTATGACAATACTAAAGTAGTTTTATATTACTGAACTTTGTAATAGGTTTTCTTTAGCTATGCAATTTATATTTCTTTGTAAAATACCAGTAATACCTTTGTA